GTTTTTGCAATAGTAATCCCTTACTTTACTTGTTACTTGAAAAAAGTAATCAGATTACAGTAATGCGTTACAAGTAACGTGTTACTGCCCATCTCTGGATGGGAGTAATCTTGTCCCATCACTGTAGACAAACACATTACGGTCCAGGCAAATGGCAACAACATACTGTTTGGATTGTTTTGCATTTTGTGTTAAACTAAACCTTCTTTGGGGAAACACATGAGGAAGGACGCATGAAGGAAAATGCAACAAAGAACAGAAGCAAACTGAGGGTTTAAATATGGGAAGAGTGAAGAAAGACAGAAACAAACAGTGAGAACCAGAAGGCACAGGAATAAAGGGAAGGCATAATAGGAACAACAAGAGAACATAAACAAACTGGATGATTAAACTAAGGAGAACTAAGAATACAAACACTAAACACTCCAAAAACTCAGCCTAAGAATTTTATCTCAACCTTCCTTTCAGATAAGTGTAAATCCACCTCTTGGACAGAAGAGACCTAGTTGTGCTTGCTAGCATTAGTAAAGGATATCCATATATGATTTTGTCCAACTAAACACTGTAGTGTGGCATAGCAGAATCACACAATCACGTTTACTCCATGCACTGTTCACCAGCATCGCCCGAATGAATTTTTAAAAAGGTGAGAGATGTTGTGTAGATGCAGTATCTCATTTCTCACCTGCAGTTGTGGGTCAGGAAAAACTTTGTCACTGTTTGTCACAAATGCAGGCTGTTCAATAACTTCCTGTGAAACTGCTGCCGTTTCCCCTGATGATGATGACGATGAGGAGGGTGTTGCTGACAGAACATTTGTTTGGGCCTTTGTTGTAACAGCAGCCTTCTCGGTTGTTTTGTCGACTGGCACCCATTCTCCATAAGCACCCAGTCCCTCTCCTTCCTGTAACACATTAAATAACTGTGGGTTTATATTAAAAGACATTTTCTTTGATAATTACCTGTTACGCAATTAATCAGTTTAAAAGGAGACGTTTATTCTGTGGAATACAAAGTGCAGCTCAAAGAATAAACTGAAGCTAGAATTGTTTTAATGCTGTTCATATAAATCAGATTCAGATCATTTTATTGATTCAGACAATTCATTTGCAGCTTAGCCACAACCTGCTCATGTAATCACAGGCAAAAATAGAAATGTGTCCACCAACAATCATAAAAAGAAGTCAAGTGGTGTCAGAGTTAAATGATCTAACAGCCAAGGGAATAAAAGATTTCAGAGAGGAACTGAGAGGAACTTCCTGAACTCAAATGACGAAACATGGTCAGGACAGCTGATTCTTTCTGGGGGGTACTGAGAGGTGTCCTGCTCCTGTAGATCAATCAGGATGCAGACTGACATCTCTAATGCACCACCAGCTGGAGGCTGAGACGTCTGCCACCTTGCACCTTTCTTCTCATACAGCATTACCCCATTTTTCTTTTTGTGGTTCTTAAATTTGTAAATGTCTGCATGTGATCGTCCCGAGATGAAGAAACAAACAGAATATTGTTGAGATATCGATGGTGTGAAAAGTGCCTCGACCATCGCCCCAGAAAAATATTAAATATCCAATAAAAAGCCCAAAAAATCTCCTATGATGGAAACCAATTCCTAATAAGACAAATGGTACAAAAATGTAGGAAATGTAAAAGTTAATATAATAAGTCCCCACCAGGACCACAAAGTAAGATCCACAAAGATTCATTCAACAAAAAAAGAACAAAATTAAGGAAGAACACCATCGTAGTCATGGTTACTGCTCCAAAAACTATTCTGCAACACAATTCTTGGGACAGATAAAAATTTGTATTCTTAACTTTTCAACAAAAATGCACAACACATGTCTGGGAGAAAAAAAGATTTTGCACACCAACAACAAAACCTCATATTTACCATAAAGCATGTTGGGGGGGTTCGTGCTTTTATCTCAGCCCCTCAAACCCTGAAAACCTCGTAAAGAAATCATAAATAAATAAAATTTAAGAAGAAAATTCAAGGCTAGAGTCCGTTACTACAGCTATGTTGTTTATGCAACAAGACGATGACTTGAAAGCAGCAAAATTTTGCAAAATCAAAATATTATGGTTTTGAAATGGCCACGCCCCCTGCTGACCTAAAGAAAGGAAGATGTTTGACTCAGACATGCTGGTTAAGTGGAACAGAAATGCAAACAGGAAGTGATTCTATTCAGTCTAATAAAAACTAGTTATAGTCAAATTGAGTCAGTTTCGTACCTTCTTACGATGCTGTGTTCCTGAGGACACGGGGAACTCCTTGGCCATGCCTGCATCACTACGGACTGCTGGACGAACTGTTGAGTTCTGATTGGACAAAAATTTGAAATGGTTACTTCTTTTTTCGAATATGTTACTTATTACACAACTGCGACTATTTCCGCCAGAAAAACCCTATGAAGGACCAGGTGACCCTATTCTCTCTGCAGCTTCTCTCCTCCTGTCCTTGCCCACAGACAATGTGTCAGGCCATCAAAAATAAACCCAAAATGAGCCGAGCAAAAGTCAAACATAAAGACTCACAAAGCTACAACTTTTCAGCTGGTGGAATACATTTGTGGTACTGCTACTTTTTGCGGCAATAGTTTTGCAAATTCCCGGATGTTTGACATCCTCTTTGTGAAATCCAAACGACAGCGAGTCTCATTCCCCTGCTCTTCTGAAACTCCCGCTGTCACCATATTATTCCCTATCTGGGATTTTGAACTAACAGTTATATAATTTACATCAGCTCAAGAACAGAAAAACCACTCAAAACATCTGCCCAGTTTTGGGAAAGCATTCTTCAGAAAGATGAAACTAAGATAATCAGTTCACAGCAGAACCACAGGAAGAAAACAGTGAGACAAAGACACCTGCATGTGATGACAGGGTCATGTGTATCGGGACATACTGTCAGCTCAGATTCAGTTAAATGAACCGTACAGAAAGATGATAACCTTCAGCATACTCCGCAATGAGCCAATCATGTGAACTTGGCCTGATGAGAAAATCATTTAATGCCTGTAAAGAATTCCTAAAACATCCAAATAAACCTCTGAAATGAAAGGATTGTGTAACAAAATGATTGTAAATCCTAAAAGTTTCACGTAATATTTCAGCTGAATCACTTATATTTAAGTTAAGTCTGCATCTAATTGGTATTTCAGCTCCTGCATTTCAAATGTGTTGTGTTGTGGCTGTACAAAGACTAAGCTATGAAAACTGCGTGTTTGTCCAAATACTTCTGGGTCAAACTGCATTTAAAACAGACACAGTGCACGTGTGCATATTACATTAACACTGAAGGTGATTGCTTTCGGTTCTCGTAGAGCTGCTCCTCCAAAAGGTTTCTCATCATCCTCTTCATCTGAAACATGAGGCACTGCCACCGGCAGCTCTTCTGTACTGTCTGCAATCATCTTGCATTTCTGCAAACAAACACACACATATAAAGAGTAAGCTGTGTAACTACGACGCATCGCTCTTGTTTTTCCACACTGCAGATCTCCATGACCGTTACAAAACACTGCAGAACTGTACTTTAGAACTGCTATGAGCTCTGAGTGGGATCCTGTATGTAAGCACACAGAGACCTTTTCCACCTATAAAGGTAGAGCAGCAGAGCTTTAACAAAATGTGATGCACGTGTCCTTTAATGCAAGGCTCACTCTATATGAAATTAACCAAATCTGGAAAAAGAAAAATCCCACCTGATCAGCTCATATTTTATACAACAACTGTTGGATGTATGTAAATGCTCTAAATCTAAAATCTAATTTGTGTTTATCAGGCTCATCGTTGCTATGTGAGCATGCACAAGGGCCTGGATGAGATGGCCTGTCCTTTGCACTAACTTTAGTCGTTTTGACACTTTGATACATAGAAAACATGAAACTTACGTCAGTAAATTCTTTAATGCTAATGCTGTTCGCTTGCTTTGCTACTTTCCTTTTCACCTCCTCCAAATTAGC